CTAACATTATATATTTTTGATTTGGACTTTGCTTTTCGGGCACTAGACTTAACCTCAAATTTAACCATGTTATGATCAGGTTAAGCTCATATCGTGACAGTAACCTGTTATTTAGACTACAACATGCACCACAACAGTAACATAAGGAAAATTCTGGTACTTACTGTATTCCACGTTCAATTGCAATTGATGTGTATGATAGAATGGACAGTGTATCGATGACCTGAAACACAGGAAGCAATATCGTAATCAAATCGGCATTAAATAGTATAAGCTATAGCACAATGCTGCAATGTTCTTTATTGATTTTTCCCAGTAACACTTTACTTGAGGAAAAATAAATTATGTAGTGTTATTCTGTTACTTATGTATTAATTAACCACAAACTAAGTATTGATTACATGCTTTGATGCATCTTTTATCTCAAATTACTATATTTGTTACTATATCTGTTAATTCTGTAAACCATTGTGAACTACTTAAATAACTACTAAAGAAACTACTGAAGGTAATAGATAGCACAAGTGAAACACTGGTCTCAGGTTTGTTTATTATGAATGAATCTTGATGCATCTTTTATCTCAAGTAGCTGCTATATTTGTTAATGATTTGTACTTCAGTAATAACTGAGATACTACTAAGTATTTGTGCCCCCTCAAGTTTTTCCCAAACAGAAGTTAAAAAAGACAAACCAAGTTCACCAATATGGGATAATGTCATTTTATTTCCTTACCATGTAGGGTGACAGAAAATGGACATTTAAAAGAAGTTTTGTGAACATGATTTTAGACATATTGTTCAGGTGAATTTTTTTATCAAGACTTATTTAAACATTTACATTTACGGCATTTGGCAGATGCCCTTAGCCAAAGCGACTTACATATGTCTAAAAGTAAACATATTTCTAATGGCTTAATCTGCTTATGCTTTGTGGAGCTTTTCTAAGAGTGTTTCTCAAGGATCCAAAGCACTGAAAGTCAGTTACTTAACATGTTTGTTGAATGGAAATTGTGTTTTCTTAAGTCTTCCACACATCATACCAAAAAATACACAATTGAACAGTCAGATTTTTGCAGAGAATCACTATTTGTCAGATGTTAGTGTCAACACCCACAGCATATATTCTTGATTATGATATGACAATCAATTCTATTAACTTTCAAATTAACAGTCCTACATAGGATAGGTTTGGGAGCATGCACTGATACAGCACGTTGCCACATCCAAACCTCAGGATCTCTGTTGGCACCCCCGCCTAGGCTGACACATGGTCCAGTCCCATCCTCTGGAAATAGCTGTCTGTCTGCCACAGCCAGGTGTTATGTGGGTGTGTCCTTAACCTGGTCCAGCGTCTCAGGTCCTCAACAATGAGGGTCCAGTGAGTCACATCACCCTCAGGGAATCAGGCACATGGCCATAAGGCAGTAACTGACATTCCCTCACAACGTAGGCAGTATGCTTCATTCAGGACTCTTCTAGCAACCGCTCATTTGACACAAACCAGCGGTATCCAAGGATTCTCCAAAGAGATTCAGTACCAATGGAGTCCAGTCTTCATCTCAGGTCACTGGATAGTGTCCATGTCTTGCACCCATATAGCAAAGCAGGGAGCACCAGGACTCTAAAGACTTGAACCTTCATCCTCTTACAAACATATCAGGAGCACCACATGCCCCTTTCCAGCGACCTCATGAGCCCCCATGCTCTCCCAATCCTTCTACTGACTTCATGTCGCTGCCAAGGAAAGTGAACCTCTCAAGGAGGTCGGCATTCTCTCCGCAAACAAACACACTGCTGATGGCTGTGCCCAAGAGGTCATTAAAACCTGGATCTTGGTTTTTATGCAGGACACTCATAATCCCAGACATTAGACTCCTCACTCAGTCTCTTGAGAACCCCGATCAGAGCATCCATTGATTCTGTGAAAATCACAGCATCTTTGGCAATGTCAAGATCAGTAAAAAAAATTTCACCAACAGATGCCCCATGTCCATTGCACCCCATGATCCTGCCCGACACCCAGTTCATGGAGTAGGAGCAAGAACACACCCCTGACAAACCCCACAATTGAATGGAAAGAACGCAGTGGTTCTGCCTCCACTCTGCACAGCACTCCGAGTACCAGTGTACAGACTGGCCACGACATCCAGCAACTTTGGGGGGAACCTGCAAAGTCTCAGGATGTCCTACAGGGCAGGACAATCAAAAGTTGATCACTTTACAAAAATAGACAAAGCCTGCAAAGAAACTCCAATATTAGGGACAACAAGTTCTGTTTTCCAGACAGTTGGGATGACGCCTGACTCCCAAATGGAAGCAAAGATTGCTTGCAATGCCAGGACAGCCTTACCACCAGCCTGGAGAAGTTCACCCCAGATACCACAGATTCCTGCGGCCTTCCCTGCCCCCAGCTGATTCACCACCTGTAAAATCTCAGTGAAATTGGGTGGTTCACAGCTAATCAGAGGATCAGCCTCAAGAACTGTGGACCCAGAGATGTCCACCATCCTAGCCGGTGCATCAGCTTTAAACAGCTGCTCAAAGCTGCCAGCCCAGCAAGTCACAACTGCAGCATCATCTGTAAGACTGTTCCATCACTCATCCTAACTGCAAATTTCGGAGGAACAGATTCAGATGTGCATAATGCTTCGATTCCTCTGTAAGCAGGATGTGTGTTGCTAGACCATAGATGGTGTGACACTCATTAGAAGATGGTGTGACACTCATTAGAAGCAGCCTTATTTTGAAATTTGGCCAGGTCTAGCCTCATTATCCTAATATGTGGTAGCCTACCGGACCTAAGCTGAATCTTCAGAATAGCAACAACAAACAAACAAATTTATTTTTGTATAGCACATTATCACAACATTACAAAGCGCTTTACAGCATCCACACCCAAAGCCCCCAGTGAGTAAGCCAACAAGTCTGTGGTGAGAATTCACAAACTGGGCACTTCTGTAGACCCTGCACTTCTGTAGTAGCCTCCAGCATCTTCCCATAAGGATGTGATCGATCTCCTTCGCCAAAACAACAGTACTGGTGTACCAAGTCCAATGATGCAGCTCAGGACACTGGAACCAGGATCCAGCAATCTGCAACCCCTGACCCACTTTCCCCCGTGTTCCCAGACCTATGGGGACTGACACAATCCTGTCAGTGCCATTGGTCACACTGCAGTCACCCATGACCAGAGGAGTGTCACCTCATAAGCACCGATCACCCAGCTAGCAAAGTTGTGAATAAAATATCTCCCTCTCTGAGACATCACTCACCGCAGCATAAGCATACACTGAGACAACAGAGAAGATAACCAGAGAGTTCCATAATCTGACTCTCATAATATGCTCGTTGAAAGAGTGACATCAGCCAATCCACCACAGCAACAACTACTCCCTGAGTATGGCAGTCATCATGGCAACCAGACCAATAATATGTATACCCACCTACAGAGATCTGGCCACTTCCTGGTCTGTGTACCTCAGAGAACAGTTTAACATCATACCCAGTCTTACATAGTGATAATTAAATGAAAATGACACAAGTCCTCATGTTCAATGTCAGACTTGAATGCTTGGTTTCCTGGCGTCATCTTTAAGAATCTGATTTGATGTTGATGAGTTGCTGTCTTTCTCTCGTTAGGAGTTTATCAATAACCTCTGGCTATTGCCCCACTGTTTTCACATAGTCACATGTTCTGCTTGCCTTTCATATACATATATGCACACACAATTTGGTTCTCAGCAGTCAGTCAGAAACAATCTGGGACCAGTTGCCCATGATTGCTCTTAAAATAAAAGAAACATTTCATAACATTTAATTTATTAAAATCTAAATCTAACAACATTTAATTTATTTAGGTAGCTATATTATTACAATGTAAATTTGTGACATTAGATTGGATTAAACCTCTCAACCAAAAACTAAGATCGTTCGTTTATTAAGACACAAAGGAAATGAAAATGATGTGAGGGAAAAGAGAGAATAATAAAAATATAAAATAGAGAAGAAAACAGCAGCCTGCTCATTGCCGAGGTGTATTTGCATAGACATGATCAAGAAGCTGAGCCCTTCGACTACTTGCACACCCTGGGCCTTGTCACCATGCTTCCTGAACTCTGCAGCGAAACCAAGAGCAAAAGCGTGACCCAGATATGTGATGCCTGTAAGAAAAACCACATGCAGGCAAGAGTGAGTGAGCGAGTGGGTGGGGAGAGGAGGGACAGTGCTGGGAACGTGCATTATGCTCTCATTGAATGGGTGAATTGGAATGAAGAGGAGTCAGGGTTAAAGAGGGATGAGTTACTGGATGAGACAGATAGGAGTGAACTGGAATGAATCAGAGTCCGGGCTGTAGTGGGACCAGTTAATGGATGAGGCAGAGAGGGGTGAACTGGAACGAATAGGAGTCAGGACTAAAGAGGGATGAGTTACTGGATGAGGCAGAGAGGAGTGAGCTAAAATGAGGAGGCCAGGCTAAAGATGTACAAGTTATTAGATGAGGCAGAGAGGAGTGAGCTGGAGCTGAATGGCCTTAGTACCACATTGTGAAGACTGCATTAATACCATGGCAGCTAGCTGTCTTCCATTCATGTTTCAGTTCAGGCATGATAGCTCAATCTTTCCAGAAATGCTCATCTAGACATTTGATTTAAAAAAATATCCTCTCTGTGGTATTTCATGCAGAGTGAAGAGAGTTTATAAATCAGACACTAAGAAAGAGTATAAAACTTAGCTGCAGTTGTTTTCTGTATGAACAGATTGCTTTACAGAAACAAGTGTTCCTATCTCTAATAAAGGCAACGATCACAAGTTTTATTATGAAAAATGTCATTTACATTAACAGTATAGGCACTTCCAATAACTTCCTGTTTCTTAAGGACATAAAAGGATTGAGACACATGTTTAAGACCACCATCAGCCTTGTAGAAAGCACAGAACCACCACAATAGCATGTAGAATGTTATAGACTCCTGGCCATCAGGGATACATGCAATCTTAGAACATGCCACTGTTGTATCAGTCCCATGCATGGATTATTGGAAGGAAAAAAGATCATATTCTATATATCATTCAATATTTAGGTATGTTCATACCACGGCTGGGGAGAGCATCAGTGTTCGCTCTGGGCACCCTGCCCGCGATGCTACCAAATGCTGTGGACACTTTCTAACGTAGATGGAGTAGACAGTGACAAGGTTGCTCAGAATGCTAAGTTTTGCAAAGTTATTAAAGCAGCCACAAGGCAAACAAATATGTAGCTTATCTTTGTGCTGACTGCCGATAGGGTGTAATTTGTCAAATTGGTATTGTTGTGAGTCAGTTAATTGCATTCCTGCTTAAAATCAAGTGTTCCGGAAGGAAAATGTTGCCTATAAATTGTGTTTTATTCCTTTTCAAATTTATCTTTACACTATGGATAATTGAGAGGTAGTTGCTTATGCAGCACAGCATTTGTCCAGCTGGGTGCCTTGCAATTTGTCTACAGTAAGTTCGATTTTTTATTATATTTTTTTTCCAGTGGTACATGCCAGTACTTAGTCTTAGCCAGAGCCCAACACCACCACACCTTCGTCCTCTTGTGTCTGGAGTGCCACACACCCCTTTCCAGCAACCTCATGACCCCTATGCTCTTCCAATCTGTCAGCTGACTTCATAGGAGTCACCAGAGGTTGACACCTTCCCTAGAGACAGACACACTACTGATGGCTGTGCCAAAGAAGTCATGAAATATTAAATGCCTGGATCTCGGTCTTTATCCAGGACACCCACAATCCCAGACATTCAGAGTCCTTGCTCAATCTCTTGAGAGCCCCGATCAGAGCCTCCACTGACTCCGCTAAGAACACAGAACAGAATATGAGCAAGAACACACCCCTGGCGAAGCCATCAACTGGGAAGAACGCAGAGGTTCTCCCTCCACCCTGCACTGCACTCACAGTACCAGTGTACAGGCTGGTCATGACGTCCAGCAACTTTGGGGGATCTCACGAAGTCTCAGGATGTATGACTAAATGGTGATCTTGCCGGAGAGACAAGACCTTCCACATGCCTACCTGGATGGGTTGCCACAAACTGGGACCCTAGTGTCATGCAGCAGGCAACGCCTCAGCACCACACCAGCCCCGATACCCAGCAGGCCAGACCATATTAGCTCTCAGATGGTTTTGTCTCATCCAGGGATGGGGCCCCCGTAGGCTTTCCCCCATCCCCATCATGGTGCGTGCTGCCTTCCTGTGGACGGCTGCAGCAGACCTACTCTCATGGAGAGCAGAAAGGTATCGTGCCTCTTTCAATCGAGTAGTTGTGAGTTGTTTTACAGTGGCTGGAGTGCCAATCCTGCCACCAACCCCCAAAAATAGTTTCCCTGCAAGTTGAAGGACCGCTTGCAGGGCCAGATGCAGTTTAACGTCATACCCAGGACACTTAAATGTTATATGTGCTTAAAAATAATATGCTCAAACATTACATTACTGTGCCACTACTTCATATTTTTAATGCCATTTATCATTATTTTCTCCAGCTAAGCAAAGTGTGCTCTTTGCCATGTATGATGTGCTGGTAAAATTAAAAAAGAGGTTAACAAAACTGCTCATATTAACATTGCTTACATAGCTAAAGTTTAAAATTTGTACTTCATATTTAATACGAGGTGCAGTGGTTAGCACTGTCGCCTCACAGCAAGAAGATCCTGGGTTCGATCCCAGGGTGCCTTTCCGTGTGGAGTTTGCATGTTCTCCCCGTGCATTTTGGGTTTCCTCCCACAGTCCACAGACATGCAGATTAGGTCAACTGGCTACTCTAAATTGCCCATAGGTGTGAATGCGAGTGTGTGTGGCTGTTTATCTGTATTGGCCCTGTGGTGAACTGGCAGCCTGCCCAGGGTGTACGCTGCCTCTCACCTGATGATGCTGGGATTGGCTCCCCATGCCTGCATTCCCACTTGCCTCTCCCTCCTACTTATGCTGCCATAGCCATATCTGCCGGAGCTTGCACATTGCACTTCATATTGCACTCACCTAACTGTTAGCACTGTCTATAGTCTTCCCTACTTTGACTAATTGCACATTTTATTTCCCCTACTCCTCCTGGGGTGTGCTGCCTGGAGTCCTCAATCTATCAAGATGTCCAGCACACCCTGCTACATGAGACGTCGCCACTACCCATGACGTCCTTGCATCCAGCTCGCTGTTCTGCCTGTGTCATCCTCCATGTATGACCCGCTGCCTTACTACTGGTTGCCTTGTTGGAAAGCTCTGCCTCCTCAGTGAACAAAAGGCCCTAACAACCGTACCATTAACATTCCAACTGACCATTGGTTTGGGGACTTATCTGACCAATAACTTATCAGTATACCTGAAGGGGATTCCAAAGAGATCACAACCTTAAAGCAATATACAGGAGTACAACAGTAATCCTAACATCTGGTCAGAGATTGGTGTATCACCATCTTCAAAGAAGACCCATTGCTTGGTTTAGTATTTAAGGAAGGGTTCACAAGAAAGTTGGGGGGCATATTCTGTAGCTAGAACCCGTACATGGTAAGTGTGATTAGCATATTCACTGTGAGTAGCCTTTACAGAGCTCCGGTTAACTGCGGTGCAATTAACATCTGTAGCCGGTTCTGTCTCACAACTACCATGTGCATCTTCTGTTAGGATATCTATAACTTTGTCTCTGTGCTGTCTTGCATGTGTATAATGTATTATATCATTATCATTATAACATTATATCAGTCCCTGTGTTGTGGTTTTCACTGGTGATGGATGTTTGTTGTTTTACAATGTTTTGATTATTCTGGAAGTATATTTTACTACTTTACCTTAAGGCAATCTGCACTGAGCACTAAAGCAGTTTCTTTTCTTGGATTACTGGTCATGGGAAAATGAAGTTCAGAACAAGCAAACTTTCCCAACAGGGTGTGTCCATCCATCCATCCATTATCTATACTGCTTAATCCATCTGGGTCGTGGGGAAGCTGGAGCCAATCCCAGCATCTTCAGGTGAGAGGTGGGGTACACCCTGTGCAGATCGCCAGTCCATCACAGGGCCAACACAGACAAACAGCCACACACACATTCACAGTCACACCTATGGGCAATTTAGAGTAGCCAGTTGACCTAAGCTGCATGTCTTTGGACTGTGGGAGAAAATCAGAGCACCCGGAGGAAACCCACGCATGCATGGGGAAAACATACAAGCTCCACACAGAAAGGCACCCTGGGTGACCCGGGGCCCAAACTCAGGACCTTCTTGCTGCGAGGCAACAGTGCTAACCACTGCACCACCGTGCCACCCACAGGGTATGTCATGTGCTTAATTTGCATTTAGCCAAAGATGGTGATAGGCTATATTTGAAAGTCTGTAAGGCTGGTGATGAAGGCAGTGGGATCTTCTGTTACTTCTGGAGATCTACAAGGTATGCATTGATCCATGACCAATATACGGAAGTCCAATGTTTTCTTCTACTGAAAAGATCTCTGCAAACACCCATTTCCAATCACCAAAATAGCTATTCAAAACTTGCCTGTTACTTCCTCTTTTTGTGAGTTTTGTTTCCCTGTTAGAATTATAAAACGCTGAGTGGATGTGTGTATGTTCTAGACCAGGGGTGGGGAACCTGATCCATAGAGGGCTGGTGTGGGTGCAGGTTTTCGGGATAGCTTCTCAATCAGCCAATAACAGTTGGTTCCCAGGACTGGAGTTGAGAACCACCGCTTTATTATTGGCTGATTGAGAGGTCATACCAAAAACCTGCACCCACACCGGCCCTCCATGGAACAGGTTCCCCAACCCTGTTCTAGACACTATATCAAAATATATCCTAGAATACTGAATGGTGTTATACAAATTCGCAGGTACACATTTATTAGATATGCAGAGCATGTAGTCTTACCTTAGCAAAGTCCCGCACATCAAACAGGTCAAAAGCTTCAAAGAGCTCATTCTTCTTCAGCCCAAAGGATTCCTGGCAGGCATTCAGGAAGGTCCTGATGTTCTTCAGGCAAAGGAACTGTGGATGGCAAGAAATGTCAGCGGAATATCCACGTCTATGCTAGTATGAAGCTGGAATTCACCTGGGAGTTACTAGGGTCAATGTAATCTTGGATATGAGCTCTATTTCTGTGAGTAGTGTTCTATGCTCATTAGAGCAGGAGAAGAGGAGGAGTCGTAAGGAAGATCTCAACAGGTCCTAAAAACATGTTTTAGTTATTTGTGGTGGGCACAGGCACACAGAGGCATTCCTATGGCCATTTGCTGATGGATGATACATCAACAAGGACAGTATCAAGAAACCAGCAGAGCAATAAATATGTGCGAAACAGCACAGCAGAAACTGTGGCTAGAAAACTAATGTTCAGGGGTGGCAATCGAGACTACAGAGGGTACAGACAAGAGATTTGATTCTGACAAAACTAAAGTAAAAAGTAAAAGTAGTGTGGACTTCCTTACAAAGTCTTTTTTAGAATTATCCTCAGCTGTGTAACAGACTTTTTGACAGTTTGCTTGGATATGTGCCTGGTTTCTATGGAATGCATTTAAATGAAAGCTGGGAGCCTTCCCATGATCCTGATCAGGATAAGAAATTAGAAGATCCCTCAAATCACCTGAGAAATACATTTAGTCAGGGACTACTGCTTTTTCTGAAGGTTTTCTTGTTTATTTTAATTGCTCACTCTCACAGTGCAGGGAGCAAAGGTTATGTGAGTCTAAATCCCCACTATTTAATTGAGTGATTGTTTGATATAGTAAACTGTCAAGGGTAATGTCAAGAACCAATTTTATTAGGAATACTGTATATGCAGTTTTTAAACATCAATTACTATGGTATGTTCTATGGAGTAATTTGACAAATATCAAAAGATTTAATAATCCTATCAACCAAAGACCACACACACACACACATTCAAGATTTAAGCAAATTATTGCCATTGTGTAACTCAACAAAATTATGTTTATGACAACCCCAAAGGTGCATTAATAAGGTGCCAGCCCAGGGGAGGTCCTCTGTGATGGTGACTCCCATAAACTTGAAGCTGGATAATCTTTCCACAGCCTGTGCTTTGATTCTTACTGGATTGTGATTGATATTTTTAGTATTCCTAAAGTCCTCAATGATTTCTTTGGTTTTTTTTTTGGTATTTAAGACCAAATTGTTGGTGTCACACCATGCTGATAGGTTCTGAACCTCCTCCTTATATGCAGCTTCAACATCATTTGATATGAATCCAATAACAGTCGTATAATCTGCAAATTTAACAATAATGTTTGATTTGTGAGTGAGTTGACAGTCATGGGTGAAAAGTGCATGGATGAGGGGACTTAGCATAGAGCCTTGTGGCACACTGGTGCTCAGGGTGAGGATGGATGATGTGCACTTTCTCAACCTGTCAGACTGGGGGCTGTTGGTGGAAAAGTCCAGTAACCAGTTGCATATGAAGGGGGTTAAACTGTGTTGAGCTTGTTGATCAGGTGGCTTGTTTAAAAGCCTTGCTGTAGTCAAGGAAGAGCATCTTAATGTAGGTGTTGGGCTTTTCCAGGTGCAAGAGGACAGCATGCAAAGCCACACAGTTAGCATCCTCAGTCAAGCGGTCCAATAGGCAAACTGGTGCTGGTCTAGATCAGCTGGGACAGAGGCTTTAATGTGGGTGAGTATCAGTCGTTCAAAACACTTTGCGATGACAGGAATGAGAATAACTGTTTGGTAGTCATTAAGACAGGTAATCATAGGAGTTTTTGGAACAGGCACTATGGTCGTGGATTTCAGGCTCACTGGAACTGTACAATAGGAAAGAGAGAGGTAGAATATTACTATTAGCTATAAACTATTAACACTTCACAGCAGCTCAGTCTAAACAGGAACGATACTCTTCTGCTCTCTGCAGGAGTAGCTCTGCTGCAGCTGCCCACAGGAAGGCTGCACACATCTTGATGGGGATGGGGGAAAGCCTTCAGGAGCCCCATCCCTGGTAGAGTCGAAACTGTCTGAGAGCTAATAGGGTCAGGCCTGTTGGGGATCGGGGCTGGTGTGGTGCTGAGGCATCGCCTGCTGCATGGCAGCACTTATGTCCCAATTTGAGGTGGCCCATCTGGGTAGGCATGTGGAACATCTTGTCTCTCCAGCAAGATGACCATCTTCCTCTGCTGTCAGGGGAGCTTCGTAAACTCAGCATTTCGGTGGTGGTACTCTGTGAGGTACACAAACTGGGGAGTGGCCTGGTCTCTGTAGGTGGATGCCCTTAGCCTCATCATTGAACTTGTTACTCCAACACTGATGGTGTGGCAAAGAATATCCTCGTGGGCAGACACTGGACGCTCCTGCAGAACTGCAGAGTCTACAGAAGTGCCCAGTTTGTGAATTCTATCTACAGACTTGTTGTTCCCACTCTGAAGATTCAGTTTAGATCCAGGAGGCTATCACCTACTATGAGAATGAGGCTGGACTTAGCCAGACTCCAAGATCAAGATGTTTGGGTGCCAATGATGCTGTGATCTTCGCAGAGTCAATGAAGGCTCTGATCAGGGCTCTTGAGAGACTGAGCAAGAAGTCTGGGTATCTGGGTTTGCGAGTGTCCTGGATAAAAACCAAAATCTAGGTCTTTAATTACATCTTAGGCACAGCCATCAATAGTTGGTTTGACTGTGTCAAATGAGAAGTTGCTAGAGGAGTCCCAAATGAGGCACATTACCTACATTGTGAGGGAGCATCAGTTACGGCACTACAGCCATGTGATTTCCCTGAGGGTGACCCGGCTCACAGGATCCTTGTTGCTGAGGACTCGAGGGGCTGGACCAGGCTGAGGGGATGCCCACATAACACCTGGCTGCAGCAGATAGATGGCCATTTCCAAAGGGCAGGATTGGACCATATGTCTGCCTGGGGGGTCGCTAGCCAGGATCCCGAGGAGTTTCGCCATGTGGTGGGTACAACAACGCACTGCATCAGCACATGCTTCCCAATAGTGATGTGCGGGTCGACCTGTGACCCACGGGTAACCGCGGGTGACCCGTGTGTGCGGGAGGTTTTAAGGCAGACATTTTAAAAATATCGTGGGTGCGGGCGGGCGGGTCAAAAAGTTACAAAACGCATTTCATTATCGATCAAAACATGTTGTGAACGGGGTCAGTGTATATTTTTCAATTTTGGAGTTTTCAATTTGTAGGATAAGCTACTAGTTTGGTGAAATATCATGTGTGTGTTTGTGTGTGTGTGAGAGAGATGTCTTTCGTGCAATTTTCCGCAACCCTTCAATAAATAACGACGTAAAAATCGATCTTTCAGTTTCTTTCTTGTTGCTTGGTACACAGTTAACCTTGCATAAAATTGTGTCATCATCTTCAATTCAGGGTACCTGCGGTAATGGAAAACCTGGAAAAGTTTTGGAATCTCCTGACGGGTCAGTTTGGGGCGGGTGTTAAAAAAAGCCGACCCTCGGAACACTAGTATTCAGTATGCTGGAAAATCTCCAAAAAAAGGCAACAGTGCCTTGTAGTTTTATGTGTTGCAATATCCAGTCGGAGCTCATCCATTTTGTTAGTGAGTGATGTAGCATTCACAAGAAGAGCACTAGGAAGAGGGGTTCTATGCAGAGCAGCTTTTAGCCTAGCTAGCAAACCCGCGCATTGCCCCTCTTCTGCTTCCTCTCCCTGCACCATCTGCATCATCTCCCTCCAGGGGTAAGAGTCAGCGTAAGTCCTGGTGATCTGAGTATCTTTGCTTCCAAGTTATAATACTGATCTGTACAGTTCGAGACGATCTGTAAAAGCTTCTGGCGACTATAGTATACAGTATGTTCACCTTTGTTTGTAGGACAGGAATAGTCAGTATTAAAAATGTTATTAAAATAAAAGAACACCTATTGGGGGAGCATGAAGCCACTGCATCTATGCGTGCCACCATCTTGAATCTTGTATAATAAGACTGTCAAATATTTTCACAAGTAAAAATATACACACACAATAATGGCTGCATTGACCAGATCATATCAAAGAAGTCCTTAAAAATTACTTCCTCTTCAGAAGCTGCTTCAACTTAATAATCATTTGTCCAGTAGTGGTGGAAAGTTCAGGTTCACAACAAGATTTTGTTTTAACCAACTAGTTGAATACTCTGTGAATGACTCTTTATACTCAACTGGTTGGTTGAAACAAAATCTTGGTCTGGATTTTTACTTTCTGAACCTGAACTTTCCACCTCTGCTGTCCAGTTCCTCCTTCTGAGTTGGATGCTTGTCAGTGTCACAGAGAATGTTACACTCTATGATCTGGCATGGCAAACTCCCATCACTGGTCAGTGGCCCTGCTTAGGATCAGCCAAAAGTCTCATGATCTTTGCATTTTACATTTTACTTTATTTAGCAAATACTTTTATCCAAATGACTTCTAGGTGAGAAAATTAATAATTACAAAGAAACAAATAATCTTTGCAGCTCAGAACTAAAAAAAGTGCCCTCCAAAACATTTGGGACAAAGACACAATATTCTTTGATTTGCCCCTGTACTGCACAGTTTAAAATTTCTAATCAAACAATTCAAAAGTGATTAAAGTGAACATTATAGACTTTAATTTAAAGGTATTTGCATACATTTTGTTTTCAGCATGTAGAAATTACAGCATTATTACAGAGGGCAGTGTATGTCTGATGGGAGAGATCACATGACAATGCTAATAAAGTTACAACTAATTAAGTAATTAGTAGTCATATAGCAGGAGGTTAGAAGAGGTGCCTGTAACTGGATGGTCATAGAGTTGCAGAGTCATGTCACTGCTGGATCCTTGACCAAGGCTCTCAAGCCTGCTTTCTGAAAAATGCATATAATTTTGGATAAAAGCATCTGCTAAATGAAGAAAAATGTATCTATGACATTGCTAGTATGAAAAAAGACCATCAAAAATAACTGTGCCCTGGGAAACTACAATTTCTGTGAAAAGAATCAGAAACCTTCTCCTGCTGTTTTAAGCAGGCTGGGCAGTTCTGTATAAAGTGCAGTCACACAGCAGATAGCTTGGTT